GTTCCCAAGCACTACAACTTACCTATATTATCTTCTACTATCAGATGCTTAGCTGACTGATAAGTTGTATATCATTTAATTCTGCAAAGAAATGCACAAACTCCCTTTAAACTCTATTGTACCCAATAGCGAGCAGACTAGAAGTGCTTATATGGTCTCATATCAGGCATGGTMTTTTCCCATATCACGCACGTTCTTTGCATGATTAAATGATAAGCTGGTTTATCATGCATGTACAACATATCATAATTATATATAACTTTAACAATTTAGTGTTTGGTCTAATATTCCATTTTCAAATTATCTGTTGTACAGGGTTAGCCTCTATTTCATATGGCAGTTATTTTGAATATTCATGCATTCCAGTCAAGGTCCGTGGAATTTTGAAGTGTTTGCATTGTTGAAGTTGTGCATTCTTTACTTTATCATTAGTATGTGCAAATATTTGTACACCAAAAAGAGGTTAACCCAGTACAATAAATGAGTCCGTTGTGACCGAGTAACATGCCTGAAAATCAATAATTATTACAGTAGTATACTTCATCCAAATATTTGGATGTGATATATAATCACAATGGTAGGTAATAAGTTTTGAAAGTACAATATTTTAAATGGAGAATGTACATTTTATCAATGAAGCCTTGCATCTTTTTTTGTTTTCTTAAAGTGAAGTTGATTTTAATATACTGTTTTATAGGTTGAAAGAAAAAGAGTGGGGAGGAGACATACCTACTTTACCTTACAGCAAAATACTAGATCCTCTATTGATAGACCCATTGGGCAGAACAAGAATAAAAAAGCTCAAAACAAGGCCATGGATACCAGAAGATAGGATAGCCAAGGTCCTCATTTGTATATTACTACCAAATTCACTGTTCACAGTATAGAAATAATGATTGACTCATCCTTTGAACTTACTCACTTACTCACTTGACTTAATTGAACTCACTCACCTGACTTGTTTGGACACCCAACTGATTATGTGATACCATATTTCGTTAGTGTATAAATATAATAAAAGTTCAGTAATTATTATTTAGTGTTATTTTATCTATTAGGAAGTCACGAAGGATGGGTATAGAATTCCTGCTAATGGAATTAACAACACCTTTGCTGTAGCTAAAATACTTAACCAACAGCAAGGAAAACTCAAAGCCAAAGATATTAGACAAGGTATAGTGCATGTATGGTGTAATATTATCATAAGACAAAACTTATAAAGTTACTAAGTCAGAATAAGATAATAATCCATTCAATGTTGTCTTGTGCTGCAGCTGTCCAGTTAAAAAAAGATGTTGCTGGTTCATCAAAGCAAATGAAGGTACAGTATATAAGTAAAAAACGTATCTTACATAGGCAGATATATCTGGATATTGATGAATTATCTATTACCAACCTATAACCTATTTGCGTCTTCTCGGATAAGGACATTAAACTGTAGGCTCCGTCTCTGCACACTATCTAACCCTGTATTGGAGGGATGTAAAAGAACCACTGAGGACGTAATAAAACCCTGGCAGTGACCAACCTCAGTGTCTGGCCTTTACTAATGATTTCTTAACGGGTTGATTTGTGGGYTGGGTTAGGGGTTTTTAAGGGGTGGGATTGGTGTACTGTATGTACCTCATAGGGGACCTCAAGTCCTATTGTGCTACACCAGCCCTTGGGCAAATTCTCAAATAAATAAAAATATAGATGGTTAGTGCCCTTGGCAAAAAATCTAACTAGTGTAGACTACCTGTAGTAGATAACCTAATGGTCTAAACTGTCAACAGTTTAGAATCTACTTGTAAACTTAACAATGTGTATTTGAATTATTTTCTACAGGAAACCATGTTTGAGTACCAGGTTCATCAAAATGTCCAGGAAGAAAGGCAAAATCAGTTACGATGGTAAGTGGTACAGTAGCTGCTGTATCAGATTGTCATTTAACCCCCCCTCTCCAATGAAAAATCATGCATTCAACACAATAGTTTTTCAGTATCCCCRTTCACTATCTCCTTAAATTTGTTTGAAGGTGTGTGAATCTGGGAGAGGATCCCATTACTAATTCAACAAAAACTCAAATAATGGAAAACAGAAACAAAATGGACAAAGAGTACAAGGTATATTTAGGGGCAGATATCCTCAATAGGGATAACTCATCTTTCAAATTACTACTGATGTCACCAAACTGGGTTTTTACACCAGGGGTGCTTACCATTTAAACCAATCCAATATGTATCTATCGGAAGATCCGAAGAGAGTGGGAAAATTGTAATACCTCAATTGGAAGACYGAATTTTTTGGGACTTACCAACCTGAAATTCCTGGAATTACTGCTATTTCTGGGTAAATGGTAAGCACCTCAGTAAAACATGTCACAGTTTCATAAATACCACACTTTTAGAATAGGTTGCATTCCTTTCCACACATCTCCGCATCGTTTTGATAATTTTTGAAAAGAAAATTGATTAAAAATGTTAATTATTATTAATAATGTTTTGTTATTATCCTCATCATCATCATCATTATTTAATTATTATTGTTGTCATTGAAAATGGAGGTACCGTAATCTAATTAATTTATATCTTGATTTGTTTCATATTTCAGCTTCTTCGAGGAGATCCTGTCATTATAAATGAATTTGATCGTTCAAGTACTGGCTGTCAACTGAGAAGGATACACAGACAGACAGATGATGTATGTTTGATTAAAATGTAGTGATATATATTCAATGACAGTGCCAAAAAATGCTCCTCAATTTATAGTTCCGACTCAAACAATGGACCTTTATCACACGGCGGCCATGTTTATTCTCATCAAAATAAAAACCTTTGTTTCGCAAGCAGMAATTAATTCTCACGAGCTTGAATTTGAGGCTACGCGTGGTGGAATCTATTGTTCAATCCAACATGGCTGCCGCGTCAATAAGGCCCATAGCTAACCAAGTACTATTGCAGCCGTTTTCCCAATGGAGTTATAACCTTATCTCACAAAGAAACTAAACAGTATCTGTTTTAAAGAGTACTACGAGGATTAAGAGCCATTTTCTATTCTGTTTGCAGGACTGTAAACTATTGAAACAATTTATAATCAATTTTCAGCGATCAGAGTTTTAGATACTGAGATATACTAGATAATTATTTTGTTAAACTTGTGGGACATAGCAATGGTAACCAAGGGGAGTCGGAACTATGAATTGCATATGGAAAAATTCCAGTCCACATTAGAGGTACCACAAGGCTACCTGATATGCCAAAACTGTGAGGGAGGGAGGTTGGGGAAAACGTCAAGTCAAGTTACATATAATATCAGGAYGTTCCCTGTCCATGAGTCCAAAATAAGTCCAAGACGTTATCCCCCTGATATGGCACACCTTTTGGGGTTGCATTGCTTACATACGCCCTATCATATATTGTCTCTTTCTGTGCTTGATTGATTGATTGTGCTTGCGCTTGCTGTAGTACAGCCGTACCATACTCTTMTGCGCCAAATACACGGTGCTCTAAAATTCTCAATGATTTTCACGCTACGACGCTACGACGCTACACCGCTACGACGCTAAAGTGCTACAAACGCTACAGCGCTAGAGCACAACAAACGCTA